ATCATCATCTCAAGCTAGCAGACCACTGCCGCTACAGGTAAGTGGCCCCAGATGGTTGTGCATACCCACCGGGCCTAGTTGTACCTTGTTGGAACTTTCTGCAGTACACAGTTCACGTTACCTTGACCTCTGTGTGATTTTGTGGTGGCCCTTTGGTTCAATGACCACAAGATTTACTTTGAGGCCTGCCTCATACAAATGTTCTTCCTCCATTCCTTTGCCAGGGATTGAGGTTTCTGTCCTGGTGTGTGTCCCTCATATGACAGTCCCAGGTCCATTCTACACATTTACTTCACTGAACCTCAAACTAGTCTTTAGCCTTCAACTTAATTCCAGACCAGGGGCAAACTGACAACTCATGGGCCCCCCGGGCAATAGCGGATCATGGAGCCCCCTGTGTCCTTGCCCAAACTCAAAAAAGCCTATGAAAAAGGTACCAGGGGCATCTCATGGGGCCCCCTACTGACCCCGGGCCCTCGGTCACTCCGCCCCTGTTCCAGACCCCACCCATCAAACAACTGCAGACATACCAGGTCTCTGCATCAGATGGCCAACACACAATACAACAGAAATTCCCAAATATAGATGTTCCTATAATAAGACCATTAGTATGCAGATGTCCTATTGAGACTTTTCGGGGACAAGAACATGGATACTTTTGGGGCCTAATAGACCTCACAGGTAATTTGGGTTTACTTTTCTCTTTTTGTAATTTTCGCAAACCAATGTAGAATTATACAATTATGAATTGATTTAATTTTGCAACAGAAACCAGAAATTTTCCATGAATTGAAGATTAGCCATGCCTGAAGCCAACTCTTCCAACCAGCTTCCAGCCTACTTCATCCTACTAGGCATCCCGGGTCTGGAGAGCTCTTACTTTTACATCGCCTTCATCTTCACCATAGTCTACGTGATATCTGTGATTGGAAACTTGACTCTTCTATTCATCATCGGGATAGACCGGAGTCTCCATGAACCCATGTACTTCTTTCTCTGTATGTTGTCTGCTATTGACCTGGTCCTGTCCAACTCCACCACGCCCAAGATGTTGGGGATCCTTTGGTCCAACAACCACGAGATTTACTTTGAGGCCTGCCTCACACAAATGTTCTTCCTCCATTCCTTTGCCGTAATGGAGTCTTCGCTACTCCTAGCCATGGCCTTTGATAGGTATGTTGCCATTTGTCAGCCCTTAAGGTATAACTCAATATTAACAACATTTCTCATTACCAACATCGGACTGTTGGCCATCAGTAGAGCTTTAGCTCTAATGACTCCATTACCATTCCTTATAAAAAGACTACCCTTCTGCTCCACCAATGTCACCCACCATTCCTACTGTGAGCACATGGCTGTTGTGAAGCTGGCATGCGTTGATACCACCTTCGACAGCATCTACGGCCTCGTGTCCCTTTTTATAGTAGGGCTAGATGTGATCTTCATCATGTGGTCGTATGTCCTGATTCTTCAGGCTGTGTTCCGGCTGGCCTCAACAGAAGCCCGGTATAAGGCCCTCAGTACATGTGCAGCTCATATCTGCACAATGATTTCATTCTACATTCCCATTCTGCTCTCCTCGATGGTCCACCGCTTCGGGAAAGATGTCCCACTCCACATTTACATCTCGTTGGCCAACGTCTACCTGATGCTGCCACCTCTGATTAACCCCATCGTGTACGGGGTGAGCACCAAAAAAATTCAGAACAGAGTTAAATCCGCCATTAAAGTGGATTTTACGTGTTTTGGAAGAGTCCATGCTGCAAAAATGGAACTTCCAAAATGGAACCAGACTCAACATTTTTAACATGAGGGTCCTTCTGTGCCGTACAAAAGATGAGGTTCTGTGTAGGCAAACAGTCGTATTATGGACTGCTCAGCGAAGATTGTTAAGAGTTGTCTCAGATATTCCCATGTATAATGGTGAAAAAACCGAAACAATGTATTCGATGGTTAACCCTTCCAAAGCCACACTCGTTATGGATCTCATCAGACAGAACATATGTATTAAAGTCTGTCTCTGAAATCAACACTGTTCACCAATATTCTGATTTGATGTGTGGAACCAACAACACTGCGAGGGGGAATGGCGGTGCTGGTAGACCTGGTTGTCTGGAGCGCAAGCCCCGGATTTCCTCTTGGGGTGTCCCAGGTCATAGACACTCAGGTTGTTGCGGGGCAAGTGATCTCCCACCTCACAGGTCATGCATGGTACCATCACTTGGCAACCAGAGCCAACAGAGCAGGACATGAAGTATCTGCTCTTATCTCTCAGGTAAGTAACCAACCGACACCAATGTAGAGGAGCATTCTTACTTCCACTGACCCCCTATGTAAAAGGCAGAACATTGCAAACTGAACTCTGCATGTGATGTATGTTACATACGTAGTGTTCTCCAGGTAAATACCCACCACGTAGTGCCCTCTAGGTAAATACCCACCACGTAGTGCCCTCTAGGTAAATACCCACCGCGTAGTGTCCTCCAGGTAAATACCCACCACGTTGTGTCCTCCAGGTAAATACCCACCACGTAGTGTTCTCCAGGTAAATACCCACCACGTAGTGTGTTCTCCAGGTAAATACTACCCACCTTAGTGTTCTCTAGGTAAATACCCACCACTTAGTGTCCTCCAGGTAAATACCCACTACGTTGTGTCCTCCAGGTAAATACCCACCACGTAGTGTCCTCCAGGTAAATACCCACCACTTAGTGTTCTCTAGTGACCTCCAGGTAAATACCCACCACGTAGTGACCTCCAGGTAAATACCCACCACGTAGTGTCCTCCAGGTAAATACCCACCACGTAGTGTCCTCCAGGTAAATACCCACCACGTAGTGCCCTCCAGGTAAATACCCACCACGTAGTGTCTTCCAGATAAATACCCACCACGTAGTGCCCTCCAGGTAAATACCCACCACGTAGTGTCTTCCAGATAAATACCCACCACGTAGTGTCCTCCAGGTAAATACCCACCATGTAGTGTCTTCCAGGTAAATACCCACCACGTAGTGTCCTCCAGGTAAATACCCACCACGTAGTGCCCTCCAGGTAAATACCCACCACGTAGTGTCTTCCAGATAAATACCCACCACGTAGTGTCCTCCAGGTAAATACCCACCACGTAGTGCCCTCTAGGTAAATAGGATTTGTTGTTTTTTAGTTAGAGACTTGTTAGAAGCACGGGATGAGTCAGTCTGGGAGGAGGTAGCGGGTCCACCTCAATGCAGGCTGGAAGGCTCTACGGGTCAGGGCTCCCACCCTTCCAGAAACTTCTGGCACTTTCTGGAGCAGGGGCAGAGGAGGGGAGGAGACCCAGATTTGCATGTTTAGGGGAACTTGGCCAATCCCCAGGCAGGAGGCCAATGGCAACCCTTAAATATGACAGAGCCTGGTGGAAGATGGACTGAAGGAAGGTCCTGGAGAGTGGAACTTGAGAGGGGGCCCCAGGGAGGGGAACCTATCTACAGGCTTGTTGCTGGACAGAAGAATCTCCACTGTGCCAAGTCTCCTAGGGAGGGAAATCCTGTCAGCAGGGAAGGATCCAGGTCAGCAAAAGGCCTGACAGGAGCTACCACCCCACCACGCTGACAGGAAAGGACAGTGAGGACTTCTACACCCCCTGGACCAGGTATGTCTCGTCTGTGGAGATTTGTAATTACCGAAGTTTGGCGCCATTTCACAAAGCTGCGCAATTTTAAACTGTGACGTATTTGGTATCTATTTACTCGGTGCAACACCATATTTTATATTTTAGAGAAAAATGGGTGTTTGTGTGCAATAAAATATATTAAAGTGTGTTTTTTTGCATTTGTGTGTAAAATTGCGTTAAAAAAACTGCTGCGCAAATAAAATGTGACGGAAAAATTTGCAAAACCCTCCATTTTATTCTCTAGGGCCTCTGCTAAAAAATATACACGATATTGCCAAAAGTATTGTCCCCCGCCCTCCCAATCATGTGATTCAGGTGTTCCAATCCCCTCCCAATCATGTGATTCAGGTGTTCCAATCCCCTCCCAATCATGTGATTCAGGTGTTCCAATCCCCTCCCAATCATGTGATTCAGGTGTTCCAATCCCCTCCCAATCATGTGATTCAGGTGTTCCAATCCCCTCCCAATCATGTGACTCAGGTGTTCCAATCCCCTCCCAATCATGTGATTCAGGTGTTCCAATCCCCTCCCAATCATGTGATTCAGGTGTTCCAATCCCCTCCATATCATGTGATTCAGGTTTTCCAATCCCCTCCATATCATGTGATTCAGGTGTTCCAATCCCCTCCCAATCATGCGATTCATTGTTCCAATCCCCTCCATATCATGTGATTCAGGTGTTCCAATCCCCTCCAATCATGCGATTCAGGTGTTCCAATCCCCTCCAATCATGTGATTCAGGTGTTCCAATCCCCTCCCAATCATGTGATTCAGGTGTTCCAATCCCCTCCATATCATGTGATTCAGGTGTTCCAATCCCCTCCTATCATGTGATTCAGGTGTTCCAATCCCCTCCATACCATGTGATTCAGGTGTTCCAATCCCCTCCATATCATGTGATTCAGGTGTTCCAATCCCCTCCAATCATGTGATTCAGGTGTTCCAATCCCCTCCATATCATGTGATTCAGGTGTTCCAATCCCCTCCAATCATGTGATTCAGGTGTTCCAATCCCCTCCAATCATGTGATTCAGGTGTTCCAATCCCCTCCATATCATGTGATTCAAGTGTTCCAATCCCCTCCATATCATGTGATTCAGATGTTCCAATCCCCTCCATATCATGTGATCCAGGTTTTCCAATCCCCTCCCAATCATGTGATTCAGGTGTTCCAATCCCCTCCATATCATGCGATTCAGGTGTTCCAATCCCCTCCATATCATGTGATTCAGGTGTTCCAATCCCCTCCAATCATGTGATTCAGGTGTTCCAATCCCCTCCAATCATGCGATTCATATGTTCCAATCCCCTCCATATCAATGTGATTCAGGTGTTCCAATCCCCTCCATATCATATGATTCAGGTGTTCCAATCCCCCCATGGACACAGGTGTATACAATCAAGCCCCTAGGCATGCAGACGGCTTCTACAAACATTGGTGAAAGAATGGGTCGCTCTCAGGAGCTCAGTGACTCCAAGCGTGGTCCCGTGATAGGTGGCCACCTGGGCAATAAGTCCATCCGTGACATTTCCTGGCTACTAAATATTCCACGCTCAACTGTTAGTGGGATTATAACAAAGTGGAAGCAACTGGGAACAACAGCCACTCAGCCACCAAGTGGTAGGCCACGTCACATGACAGGGCGGGGTCAGCGCATGCTGAAGCGCACAGTGCGCAGAAGTCACCAACTGTCTGCAGAGTCAATAGCTAAAGACCTCCAAACTTGGTGTGGCCTTCAGATGAGCCCAACAACAGTGTGTAGAGAGCTCCATGGAATGGGTTTCCATGGCCGAGCAGCTGCATCCAAGCCTTCCATCACCAAGTGCAATGCAAAGCGTCCGATGCCGTGGTGTAAAGCACGCCGCCACTGGACTCTAGAGCAGAGGAGACGTGTTCTCTGGAGTGAGCAATCACGTTTCTGCATCTGACAATTTGATGGGCGTGTCTGGGTTTGGCGGTTGCCAGGAGAACACTGAGTGGAGGTCAGTGGAGGGAATGACAGAGGGGGGTAAAGGACACTGAATGGAGGCCAGTGGGGGAATGACAGACGGGGGTGGAGGACACTGAATGGAGGCCAGTGGAGGGAATGACAGGGGGGTGGAGGACACTGAATGGAGGCCAGTGGAGGGAATGACAGAGGGGGGTGGAGGACACTGAGTGGAGGCCAGTGGAGGGAATGACAGAGGGGGTGGAGGACACTGAGTGGAGGCCAGTGGAGGGAATGACAGAGGGGGGTGGAGGACACTGAGTGGAGGCCAGTGGAGGGAATGACAGAGGGGGGTGGAGGACACTGAGTGGAGGCCAGTGGAGGGAATGACAGAGAGGGGTGTGGAGGACACTGAATGGAGGCCAGTGGAGGGAATGACAGAGGGGGTGGAGGACACTGATGGAGGCCAGTGGAGGGAATGACAGAGGGGGGTGGAGGACACTGAATGGAGGCCAGTGGAGGGAATGACAGAGGGGGTGGAGGACACTGAGTGGAGGCCAGTGGAGGGAATGACAGAGGGGGGTGGAGGAGGACACTGAGGGAATGCTCAGAGGGGGGTGGAGGACACAGTGGAGTGGGAATGACAGAGGGGGGTGGAGGACACTGAAGTGGAGGCCAATGGAGGGAATGACAGAGGGGGGTGGAGGACACTGAGTGGAGGCCAGTGGAGGGAATGACAGAGGGGGGTGGAGGAACTGAGTGGAGGCCAGTGGAGGGAATGACAGAGGGGGGTGGAGGACACTGAGTGGAGGCCAGTGGAGGGAATGACAGAGGGGGGTGGAGGACACTGAGTGGAGGCCAGTGGAGGGAATGACAGAGGGGGGTGGAGGACACTGAGTGGAGGCCAGTGGAGGGAATGACAGGGGGGTGGAGGACACTGAGTGGAGGCCAGTGGAGGGAATGACAGAGGGGGGTGGAGGACACTGAGTGGAGGCCAGTGGAGGGAATGACAGAGGGGGGTGGAGGACACTGAGTGGAGGCCAGTGGAGGGAATGACAGAGGGGGGTGGAGGACACTGAGTGGAGGCCAGTGGAGGGGACAGAGGGGGTGGAGAGGACACTGAAGTGGAGGCCAGTGGAGGGAATGACAGAATGGGGTGGAGGACACTGAGTGGAGGCCAGTGGAGGGAATGACAGAGGGGGGTTGGAGGACACTGAGTGGAGGTCAGTGGAGGGAATGACAGAGGGGTGGAGGACACTGAGTGGAGGCCAGTGGAGGGAATGACAGAGGGGGGTGGTGGATACAGAGCGGTTGGTGAGGTGGATGAGTCTGGTCGCTGAGTTCAGGATAGACTGAAGCGGGGATAGTCTGTGATGAGGGAGGCCGGTGAGGAGGGAGTTGCAGTAGTCCAGACGTGAGATAATAAGGGAGGGAATGAGTAGTATAGTAGTGTCTGGGGTGAGGAACGTATTTTGGAGATGTTGCAGAGGCGGAGTCTGCATGAGTTTGCCAACGATTGGACATGGGGTTGGAAGGACAGATTTGAGTCCAGGGTGACACCCAGGACTTTGGCTTGCAGGGTGGGACTGATGGTGGCATTGTTGGTCGTGATGGAGAAGTCGGGGGCACAGGCTGGGGGGAAGACTAGGAGCTCGGTTTTGGAGAGGTTCAGTTTGAGGAAATGGAGCGACATCCAGTCTGATATGTCGCTCAGTAGGTGTGTGATTCGGGTGGAGACTGAAGGGGTGAGGTGAGGGGCGGAGACTGAAGGGGTGAGGTGAGGGGCGGAGACTGAAGGGGTGAGGTGAGGGGTGGAGAGATAGATTTGTGTGTCGTCGGCATAGAGGTGGTAGTTGAAGCCATGAGAGTGTATCAGTTGGCCAAGGGAGGAGGTGTAGATGAAGAAGAGAAGGGGCCCGAGGACAGAGCCTTGGGGGACCCCAACAGAGAGGGGGGAGTTAGGGGGAGGTGGTAGCATTATAGGTAACACTGAAGGAGCGCTGGGATAGATAGGAGGAGAACCAGGAGAGGGCGGAGTCTCTGATGCCAAGGGAGTGCAGTTTATTAAGGAGGAGGGGGTGGCCAACATCTAGAGATATTTCTCTGAATCCCTGGCCACCATCAGTTAACTTTGACCAATACAGCCGGCACCCTCTATCCTCTAACAGTGGCTGCCATCACACAATGTGGTGTCCATTCCTCCCCCCCCTAGACCCAGCCTGGCTGTACCGTAATGACCTAGGACCTTCTTCTTACTCCCTGCTGCCTCCAAACTCCTTGAATTTCTAGTCTTCACCCAGCTCCCCCCGAAATCCTCATCAGACGCTTACCTTACCCAAGCATGCATGGAGCCTCTCAGACGCTTCCCCACCCGAAATACCCAAGCATGGAGCCTCGCTGGTCAAGGGGGAGAAAGACAAGCAAGCCCCATCCCCACTCCCGAACCATACCCAAGCAAGCATGGAGCCTCGCTGGTCAAGGGGGAGAAGACAAGCAAGCCCCATCCCCACTCCCGATCCATACCCAAGCATGGAGCCTCGCTGGTCAAGGGGGAGAAGACAACAAAGCCCCATCCCCACTCCCGAACCATACCCAAGCATGGAGCCTCGCTGGTCAAGGGGGAGAAGACAAGCAAACCCCATCCCCACTCCCGAACCATACCCAAGCATGGAGCCTCGCTGGTCAAGGGGGAGAAGACAAAGCAAGCCCCCCCCATCCCCACTCCCGAACCATACCCAAGCATCCCAAGCATGGAGCCTCGCTGGTCAAGGGGGAGAAGACAAACAAGCCCCATCCCCACTCCCGAACCATCCCCAAGCATGGAGCCTCGCTGGTCAAGGGGGAGAAGACAAACAAGCCCCATCCCCACTCCCGAACCATCCCCAAGCATGGAGCCTCGCTGGTCAAGGGGGAGAAGACAAGCAAGCCCCATCCCCACTCCCGAACCATCCCCAAGCATGGAGCCTCGCTGGTCAAGGGGGAGAAGACAAGCAAGCCCCATCCCCACTCCCGAACCATCCCCAAGCATGGAGCCTCGCTGGTCAAGGGGGAGAAGACAAACAAGCCCCATCCCCACTCTCGAACCATACCCAAGCATGGAGCCTCGCTGGTCAAGGGGGAAGAAGACAAACAAGCCCCATCCCCACTCCCGAACCATCCCCAAGCATGGAGCCTCGCTGGTCAAGGGGGAGAAGACAAACAAGCCCCATCCCCACTCCCGAACCATCCCCAAGCATGGAGCCTCGCTGGTCAAGGGGGAGAAGACAAGCAAGCCCCATCCCCACTCCCGAACCATCCCCAAGCATGGAGCCTCGCTGGTCAAGGGGGAGAAGACAAACAAGCCCCATCCCCACTCCCGAACCATCCCCAAGCATGGAGCCTCGCTGGTCAAGGGGGAGAAGACAAACAAGCCCCATCCCCACTCCCGAACCATACCCAAGCATGGAGCCTCGCTGGTCAAGGGGGAGAAGACAAGCAAGCCCCATCCCCACTCCTGAACCATCCCCAAGTATGGAGGGTCCACCTGTGAAGGCGCCTTGTCTCCGTGCTAATGGGGACAAGGGCCTCTTCACCACAACCATGGCGTAGTGGTTATGGGGGGGGGGGTCTGAGGGTCTTTAAAAATGAGGGAGCCCCAGAATCCTGCCCCCTCCCCACATGTGAATGAGTCGGGGTACATCGTAGACAGTAAACAGTAAAACCAACACTCAGACATTTGTCAAGTCCTCGAAATGTCATTCAATGAAAAAACCTGAAGAACCCAACATGACAATGTCCACCTGCTTGGACCTGCTTGGACTATCATTGGTCATAACAGGGAAGGGGTGGGAATAGTGGTGATGTCATTGCCCAAAATGCTGTATGTCCATGTGGTGGTCACTGAGACAGGAAGTGAGGGGAAATCCCTCAATGGGGACACACGGCAGTAAATTCCGTCCTCCCCGGCTCCATCCTGTTTCGGCTGAAGTTTCAGAAGTTTGCTGGGTTGGCAGACAAGAGGCGCTGGGGAGCTCTAGGTGAAGGTCGGTGGGATTTGGGATCCCGATGGTGCCGTGGATCGAACATTTCCTCTCCAGAAGTCATAACGTTTTATCTGCCGTCTGCAACAATGGTCAGCCTTTGTCTTCTCCTCACAGGTCTGGATGGGGGATTTCCTGAGATGA